CTCCGGTTGGATCAAAGGCGACTTCGGCAAGCTCAACAACGACTTACGCGATCTCTGCGACAACGACTCCGAAGACGAACATCAGCACCAACAACCTCACAACACCGTCGAAACAGCCCTAACTCTCACCGCCCTTCCCGCCAAGCCCGCCAAGCCGCCCGCAAAGCACGACATGCACATCACCCTCCTCCTTCTCCCCGCCCTGGAATCCTACGCGAGCACCATGCACCACCACATCCGCTCGCGCGAGTGGGGCCGCCTGCACGACGGCATGTCCTTTGCCATCCACCGCATCGACTTCGTGGACGAGGGCGCCTCGAATCGCTATCTGGAGCGCGGCATCTCGGCGCGGAAACAGCGGATGGCGGTTGAGGAGGCGCGGAGGAGAGGGGAGGCTGCGGCGGGGTTGTTGATGTTTGCGCATGGGAATGGGAATGGGAATGGGGTTGTGAGGGTGGGGGCTTAGGATTCCCTGGCTTCGTTGAGTTTCTCGAGATGGGTATGAGGGTTCTGGACTGATGTGAGCGAGCGGCTGCGTGTGGGGTTTGTCGAGGCTAGGGAGAGGGCTGGAGAGAGCAGCGTTCCGCTATGAGTATACCCTTTTGCGCTGGATGTACCATTGAGTATGCATGTATGATTACCCATGATGTGACGGCTGATTGACTACTTACTGCGGTAACCTCACTTTGTTCTTGGTACTTTCGACAAAATGTCGCCGTAGTGTGGAATGAGCAGAGAACGAGAAGTTTGAATGGCTACATCAGATGTGCCCGGAGTAAACATACATGTAATCATCCGAGCGCCTAGTACGCATGGCCAAGATAGACAGACATACGACAATACAACGCGAAGTCTCGATCGATCAAAACAGAGAACCCCCATCTCACCCACCTCATCAACGCCCTCTCGACTCCCACCCTTTCTCATCCCCCACCCCATCCCCGCCCTTCCCAACAACCCCAGCATCAACCGACCCATCAAAAACATCCACCTCGGTCCCCGCGAACCTCCTCGCCGCCACCCTCCTCTCAAACAGCACATCGAGCTCCGCGAACGTCCTCCCCCTCGGCTCCGGCACGCGAAAATAAGTATACCCCAGACTCCCCAGACACAACCCCGCCCAGAAAAACCCCGTATAGTTCCCCCAGTTCCACGCCGTGGGATTCAGCATGTACGGCGTCAACACGGATGTGATGATGCCGACGACGATGTACAAATTCCGGCCCAGCACCACGGTTTTGATCTGCAGGCGACGGGTCGAGAGTTCGGCGACGAGGGAGTAGCAGACCGTGCCGACTGTGAGCTGGTAGAGCAAGGCCCAGACGATCATGAGGCTGCCGGTGGCGAGGCCCGCTTCGGCTTTATGCGTGGCGGGCACGAGGCCGAGGAAGCCCATGATGACCAGGATCAAGCAGAGCCCGCAGAGGCCGTAGAGATACAGCGTCCGTCTCCCGACTCCACACGCCATCAACGACCACGCGCCGACCACGCCGACGATGTTGATAGCGTACTGGCCCATGGCGAAGTTGTAGCTATTGGAGGTGCTGACGCCGGCTTGCTCGAGGAAATACGTGCTGTAGTTGCTGAAAGCGTTTCCCGAGAGGTTCTGGATGGCCCAGCACATGCAGACGATCTCCGTGCGGCGGCGGTCCACGCCGCGGAAGCAGTCGAGGTAGCTGGTCCCGGACGTGAGGTGCGTTTCCAGGGCCGTGGTGTGTTGCATCATGGCGATGGTCTCCGGGGCGGAGAAGGGGGAGGTGGGGTTCGGGGTCGTGAGGCGAAGGAGGGAGGCTTGGGCTTCCGCGAGGCGGTTTTTGCGGACGAGCCACCTGTGGGGGTTGGTCAGTAGTATTATTTGAATTAAGGGGGGGAGGTGGCCTTACCACGGAGATTCTGGGGCGAAGAAGATGCCGACGATCAGGAATGGGGGCCACATCCACTGCAGTGAGTACGGGATCCGGTAGGCCCACTCGTCGGTCCGGCCGACCATTGATCGGATAACGCCGATGCCGATGAGTTGTCCTAGGCCCCAGCAGGCGTTGACATATGTGGTCAGGTAGCCGCGTAGAGCGACTGGGCAGACTTCCGATGCGTAGGTGATCGTTAGTGTTTGGAATACGCCCCAGGGGATGCCGCATAGTATCTCAGCCACCAGCAAGGTTTGGACGTTTTGTGCAGTGAAGAATATTGCGGTGAAGCCCACGATGCAAAAGAGACACCCAATGACTGTGTACCGGTAGCCAAAACGTTCGGAGACCCAGCCGTTCAGCATTAGACCGATCATCTCGCCCACGTTGGCGCCGTTGCTCAGGCCGGCTTGCCATCGAGCCGGGATCTGATAGCTGGCCGTTGCTGCATCGTAGACGCCGTATTTGCGGTTGAACTGTGGGAAAGCGTAGAACTGGGAGACACATTAGACTTCTGTGTTGTCCTTGGTCGTCTTAGACAGTGGGTTTACGTTGTTGATCAGGCAGACATCGTAGCCTTCCATGGCAATACATGTCGAAATGAGCATACTCCAGGCGATAGCCTTCGGATAAAGTCGAATGCCTTGCATCAAGGTCATACTATGCTCCTTCTCGGTGGCATTCTTGGCGTTGAGGGTTATCTCCTCGGTGGTCTCCGCGGGGGGCAGCTCGTCGTCGACGGGAAAGTGTCGAGGCTTCCCGTGTTCGTCGTTCATGGTCTTCTTCTCGCTGTACACCGCCGTGTGAGCATCCGCGGCGAAGTCGGATTGGGCCATGTTGGGTTGCTCTTGTACGACGGTGGCAAGCCTAACCCTCAGTTTGCCAAGGGAGAGGAACAGTACATGTAGTCCTGCTTGAGGCGAATGTGCGAGAATGGACGAGTATCAATGAAAGATGAAAGGGTTGAAATTTCTGGTGAGACGCTCGCATCAACTTATATGCTGTCGTCGCCGAGACTACGGTGCTATACAGCAGTCACGCGAGAACGACCGGCCCGCTCTGGAGGCGGCGGAGGGGGGGATCACATTGTCTGCAGACCCCGCATCACCGTTTCAGTGCCCAGAAAGCTTCGTGCTGCATCAGCGCGGCTGGGCATTGACAAGGATGGTGTTTGACACTCGTAGCTGTAGGCAGACGAAGCGGTTTGGACACGGTTTGGATGAGAGCGAACAGTTTTCTGGAAAGACTGAAGTCGACATTTCTTCGGAGATGGAGCCATGTTTTCCCGGCCTGCTTGTTCCACCGCCAAGAGTTCAGACCAACGTCGACATCACACCGTCAAGACGACATTCCAGCAAAGGTGACGGAGCACACAATATGGGCAGTGCAATCCTGACTTTGGGTAGCCCACACACCTGCTGTACGGAGTATCGCTGGCTACACGTAGCCTTAGGTACCTCACCGTTGCCGATGATAGTCCCGAGTCGTTGTCCTGCCTTCGGCAATCGCTCAGCATTAAACCGAGCCGATACCGATGTGAACCTTCTCACATCTCTTCCAACCACATTGCCGACATGTTGTACCTTTCCATCCTGGAGGCACTCAAGCTAGCCTCATACTCGTGATGCCGACCCCTGACATCCCAACATATACCATCCTCGAAGCAGACGGTCAATACCCGGAACAGCTCCTCGAGGACCAGATCTTCAACGATGATCCGACGCACGCATACAAAGTCCACTTCGTACGGTCGACACTGGCCCCGTCCGGGACGGATGTTCGTAAGCCTTGGTCGGATGTCCCCAAGGACATCCGAGATGAAGTCGACGGCCTCATGATCTTGAAGCTTCATCTGGGGGAGAAGGATTTCGAACTCTTTCCGAAGTTGAAGGTGTGAGTATTTAATGCGGACAGTATGAGTAGTAGTTGTTGACAGGTCATGCATGCAGAGTCGTGAGGATGGGCGTCGGCTACGATGTCATTGATCGTCCTGCCTGCGCCAAAAGAGACATTACCGTCTGCAATGTACCCGGTACGATCTCCAACTAGGCAGCCAATTGAACCAATAATTAAACTCGTACAGACTACGGCACGGAGGACATCGCAGACCACGCGATCGGACTCGCCCTCTCCCTCCGAAGAGGCATCCTCCTCCACAACGACCTCCAACGAACAACGCCACCCGCGCCATACTGCCCCATCAACCACCCCCTGATCGCAAGATCGCGAGGCGCCACCTTCGGTATCCTGGGTCTCGGCCGGATAGGCACGGCTGTAGCCCTCCGTGCGAAAGCTTTCGGCTGGCACGTCATCTTCTACGACCCATACCTTCGCAATGGCGCAGATAAGGCGGTGGGTGTTGAGCGAACGAAGAACATCAAGGATTTGTTTCGACGGTCGAGTATATTGTCGATCCACTGTCCCGCCACGCGGGAGACTAAGAATCTGGTCGATTATGAGTTGCTCTCGCTTTTGCCGAAGAGTGCAGTACTCGTCAACACGGCTCGCGGAGAGGTCGTCGACCTCGATGCCGTTGAGCGGTGTTTGAAAGAAGGCGGTCTGGTTGGCGCTGGGTTAGATGTACTGCCCGTCGAGCCGCCTCCGGAGCCGGTGCACTCGCTTATCCAGGCTTACCGCGACAGGGAGTCGTGGCTCGTCGGCCGTGAGTACGTGTCAACGATCTGGAAGGTCTCGGCTGACTTGCGGCAGGAATGGTCTTGACATGCCACACGGCATTCTTCTCGCCGAGCTCGCTGGAGGAGATCCGCTCGAAGTCTGCGCAGACTATGCGGGAGGTGGTGAGTGTGCTTTCGGTACCTCAGCTTCTGATCGTGTCGCTAACAGCGCGGCGCAGCTCATTGACAAGCTCCAGAGTAACGTCATTACACCAGAGATGGAGTAGCTCCCTCATGCAACATACATGTATTCATGAGAAGCCTCTACCTGGCCAGCCGTCCGTTGACCTTGCAACTTCGCTACTGTACGCTGTCTTGCACCTGCGCCACTCTTCCTTCGGAGTCTGTGTCCGCACACACATGCTCGTAGGCATGAAATATCACGAAGCTTTATGCGTTGCAAAATGGATCGAGATCTTGGACGAGGCCGGAATCGAACCGGCGTCACACCGCACCTGACAGCTGGATGCTGATCGGATTCACCGATGTATCTTAACCACTGAGAACACGCGCCCACTGAAGGCAAACAATGAGAGATCTAATACGTCAAACACATCCGACTTTCCGGCGTTATGCCGGCTAGTGTGTGGCAATTTGAGCCCAGTGTGCCGGTTGCAAATGCAAAGAGGAGAAAAGTGAGGAAGTTGAGGCTTACCTGACAAATAGTTACTGGCGTGGCCACACCTAACCTCACTTCACGAGACCAGCCAGACTGTGAACGAAGCGCGAATCGAACGTACATCAGAGTGCAGTGAAGCCCGAGAATAAGCTAATGGTTTCCGACAGAAGCGCGCCGTGTTGCCACGGAAAGCAGCCATAGTATCGCGTAATCGTGTTTCTTGAAGGCAGTCGTTCAAGGTCTCTCCAGTGGCGGCGAGCGAGGCCCTATAAAGCGTTGACGAGTCTGCCGTGATCGTGCTGGAGAGGAACGCAAGGTTGTGAAGCCAGCAGGAAAACATCTGCGTCGTAAATGGACTTTGAGGTCGGACCGATGGAACGGCGCATGCTGTGAGTGCATCAATGCACTCGCAGTCCGCTAAGCTGACGGTAATGCCGGCACCTCTTGATCGTACCGGTACGCAGGCGAAGAGGGCGTCAAAATGGTGGGCAGCCAGCGCTCTCCTTGAACAACATGGGATCACGCCTACGTTTCTTACCGTTGTGGCTTCCAGATGGTGGAGTACTCTGAGTATGTTTAGATGACTATGTCGACAGCCGTAGAGGCTACCTTACGTAAGATCTTGTGATCGCGGACGTTGAGGTTTGAGCCATCGTGTTGTCTCGCGGTGGGTGTCTCAGTGTCTCAGGAAGGGACGTTTGGCCGGCAAGTTCCGTCGCTTGGGCCATGTGCATTCAAGACCGCAGGTCTTCAACCATTGTGAGCGAGCGTCTCCATTTGCACAACAATCAAGTCTCACATCACCGGCACGAGCATGAATAGGGATCGCGATACGCCCCAGATCTACATCGGCGCTGTTCTACAAGGTATTGGATTGCCGCCAAGATACCACGCAGCCTCGCGCGCGGACTATCCGCCGTGCAGCTTTCCGGTGTGCATTTGGACGAATGACAGCTTACGCCGTTCACAGAATCCCAAACCGGCAACGGCGATGAACTTGCTTTTTGCTTTCGGCCTCGCCGTCTCCATCTGGAGCTAGGACGCCCCGGACCGTGCCCTTGTGGGAGATCCTCTTCACCGCCATATGAGGTTCAGAGATGCTAGCTTGCGTGCTCAGAGAGGCGCAAACGTCGCCCACGAGCAGTACCGAGTACGGTGAGATACACACCCAGTCCGTGGCCGGCTTCTGAGAATGCTGGAGGCTGCTGATACAGTACTTCCCGCTCACGCCGTGCGAGAGTCGACTGTTCCGTGTCTCTTGAAGGAGCGGCGCGTCCTGGTTGGACGAGTAAACCATTGATCATTCTGCACGGTTGGTTGGCGAAGACATACTCCGAGCTTCGTTCATTGTGAGTGCACATCGCTCTTCCCGGCTCCTTGGAAAGGCAGGGGTCTGTCGCTGTGACTGGTGCTCGAGCAGGCGCGGCAGCCGACACGTCACGAACACAGATTGGAATTGTCACAAGGTCGGTATACTTGTCTAGCAGTATTTGGCCAGATGAGACTTATTCCAATTCCAGATGGATGAGTACTCACATCCAGGTCGCTCATGATCGCATCTTCTTTCTTACTTCAACATCGCTGTCCATTGTTCCTATCCCTCTGTATTCCAGGCGAACATGTCGGAAAGCGGGTCGGATGCGGATGCCGGATCCAGCTCTGACAGCGCATCATACGTGGCGCCTGCCGCACGGCAATCCACCTTAGCTGCGCTCCGAGCGCAGACTGTCCAGCCTCTGATCAACGGAGACGGGTGGTACGGAGCAAACGACGACGACTTCCAACACCGTTTTGCAGCCCGTAGGTACCATTTTCCAGGCAACGCCGACAGCCAACCTCGGGTCTTGAAGAGGGCGGGCTCGGACGTGAGGTCAATGGCGGTAGCGCACAGTCGGAGTACGACCCTGGAAAGCGTATCCTCAACTGGATACCCACCCTCACTCGGATCGTACTTGACCGCCTCCGGCTCATCGGTACTGACGGCTGAGGCCGATTCCTTCCTGCAAGATAATTATTTGGAGGAGGTAGAAGGAGGAGCTTTCGAACAGCGCTTATCGGACGGTCCGAACCTGCCGTGTCCGTACACTATCCTGGGCTGTGCGTTCATCTCTACAGAGCTCATCGAGTGGGACCATCATGTTCGCTTCCACTTCCACGGAGAGTTGCCCAAGAAATGCTCCTGTCCGTTCGAAGGCTGCTCGTGGTCCGAGACGGCGGCTACCGGCCAACAGGCCTGGGACTGGCGTCTCGTGCACCTCCATCTTCAGCGCAGTGCTCACAAGACTGTGGTGCCAGTGGAGCCCGGACACCCGGACGTGGACCATCTGTGGCGGAAGAACATCATATCCGACGCCCAGCAGAAAGAGCTGAGACAATTTGGACGGCTGGGTGCAGATCAGGCCGCTTACCTGTCTTCATCGAGACCTGAGCGGCGGACAAGGCAGAGGGCCAGCCGATGTTAGTGCCTTGTCTTCGATGACCCCTTGAGACGTCGAAGTGGTCCACTGACTTCGACTTAGGACCGCAACGTCGATACAGTGCCGGCAAGCTTGCTCCACGTACGACGGAATATCAGACTTGAAGACCCTGCTGTCGATGACATCTGTTTGTTTGGGAACGATGCGCCGGTACCAGTTTGTGGCGTTGGTGTTGGCGGTCAAGCAGGCGTCCGATCTATACCCTTTTCCTTCTTGATGTGTCAATGATCACGACCGAGACCTGGGCAAGGCAGGAGCGTCAGGAACGCATAGTGTGAATGGCATGAGGAACGTGTGAGTTTGAACGACAGAATGAGATGAAGTCAAGAAAAGGAGAAATGCCTCAGGCAGCCTTAGACAACGACGGGCAATTTTCCAACTGCATACAGGGGCTTCAAGCCTACTTGAACAATTCCTGCTAAGCTGTTGCCTTCTTGCGAGCCCTCGATCGATTCGTTGGCCACCATGGTGGCCAACAGACTGACGTGAGGGTCGCGGGCGTATCGGTCAAGGCACAGCCTCACCGCAGTCTCTTAGCGCGCCTGAGGCCGCCCCAAATTCCGCCTCGATGTTCAGGAACAAGGCATCCACACAGCGTGCACGCATGCATCGCATGCAGGAACTAAAGCCATGGTGTGCTGAGTCGTTGGCGTGCTAATCGCCGTCTTCCGCGCTGCGGGCTGCAATGTATCGTCGGAAGCGTGACCTTTGCGTCGTCCGACTGGGCCGGAGCCTTCAAGATCCTGTTTCTGTTGGATTCATCGAGTCCACAAGACTGCCCACTTGCTTCGCCCAGATACCGTCGTGCTTTCCATCCACGCGGAGAGCGTACGATCGAGCTTCCCAAAATGCTCTCACTTCTTCCACCACCAACTTTCACCCCCCGGCCTCCAACTCAGCAATCCTCTTCTCAATCTCCGGTACACCCCGCAACCTCAAATCCAACTCCTCCCTCTCATCTTCCAACCGCAACCGTTTCTCCGCCTCCAACTTCGTAAACATATGCCCGCCCTGCCCGTCAAACTGCAGTATCCACCCATGATACCTCCACAAGCTTTTCCGATGCGAGACCGTCATGAGCGTGATGCCAAGTCTCTTCGCTTCCTCATACATGATCTTCTCCGTCTCGGCCGTGACGCTCGACGTGCATTCATCCAGGATAGCGTACTTGGGCGCATGGTAGAAGAGCCGAGCCGCTGCTATACGTTGCTGGTTACCAGCGGACAGGACGTCCGTCCACTCGGCCTCGAGGTCCAGGCCAGCTATCTCTGCCTTCGAGGATCTGCTCGCGCGGGTATCCGTAGGGCTGATGAGCGAGTCCATGGAATAGCCTGCTTTGCTGTTGTGCATGTGTGTGCCGAGCAAACTTTCCAGACCCAGCGACTGCAAGATGTCTATAAGATCCCGGTCCGTGACGCCTTTGGCGCGCATATCAAGCAGCGTGTCCGGGTACAGGATTTGTTGTCTCAGTGTGCCTTTGCTCAAGTATGGACGCTGCGGGATATAGAAGATGTCTTCGCTTGGTGGCTTGCGCACCTTCCCGCCGTAGACTGGCCACAGACCGCCCAAAATGCGGAAGAGACTACTTTTACCGCAGCCATTAGGTCCCACAATCAGCAGATGGTCGCCGCGGTTGATGTGGAAAGAGAGTGCTTTGACCAGAACATCGCCGTTAGGGGACACGATCGGTACGTCCTGAAACCGGATATCCTCGCCTTCGTCTAGCTCGCCGCGGCCGGAGAGCACGGAGGCATTGGCCTCAGTGGAAGCGGAGGAGACGAGCGCCTTTTCAAAGTGACCGCGTTGGATGTCAGCGATGACCTCGAGGAGAGTGCTGACGCGGCTGGTGTAGCCGGCTAGCTGCGAGATCTCCTTGTATGCGAACATCAGTCTGCCGAAAGCGTCGCTGCTGGAGAGCAAGAGACGTCGATTCGTGATGAAGCTCTCTGTGTGGTCTGACTTCGTTCCACCAGTACCGGCAGATGGGAGCTTGAAGAAGACAGGTACTGAGCAGAGCATCAGCCCCAACGCGCCCCAGAAGTACTTGATGACGAAGTCTTCCATGATACCATGGTAGAACCGCCGCCGTAAGATGCGGTTGACGTGCTTGATGAGTGTGAAGTAGCCTTTGTCTAGCGTATCTTTCTCCGCCTCATGGCCAGCATACAACGCAATCTCCTCGCTATAGTCGATCAAGCGGGAATGTTGGAACCGAAACTCGCCTTCCAGACGTGCTTCATCCGCCACGTACTTGCCGAAAGGTGGCGTCAAAGCGCGCATCACGCTTGCGCTGAGCTGCACCAGAAGTGACATTGCAAACAGGCCTTCGCCGCCCACGCTTCTGCTAAGGCTCCAATTGTAGATGATGAGATCCAGCACCGGCTTCGCGAGGTTCGAGTACAGCTCGGCCAGGCTGTTG